GGAATGCTGTCCCAGAAGAATGCATGATCTGCAATGGAAAGAAAAAGGTGGGCAAGGTTGGAGTTAGAACTTGATTAGATTTTGTTACATAATATATTTAGTGCAATTTGTTGTTTTCAAGATGTTGGATTTACTGTCTTAAATTAGTCCTTTAACTGATGTCACTGAAGCCAGAGAGTGGTGCTGGCAGGGAGTGAGGCCAACTGGCCTGGAGTGCTACAGCCAGAGTCAGAACAGAACTACAGATCCAAACAACCAGGTTCTTTGATATCTGAACTTCAGCTTTGAATGCTACAAGAAATTGTGATTGAAATAGACCCATTTTGCATCATATGAGTACTTGGGGTAAAGGGCTTTAGAGCTCTTCAAACAGTTTACTGCAAATATTATTTGGTATAAGAATTTAAAGAATCCAATAATGATATATTTATATTTCCATAAACATTTAATTAACTGAGCTCTACTAAATATTTTCTAAAAAATGTAATTATACACTTAAAATCAGAAATCCTTGCTGAAAAGAAACAAAAATCAATTTAACTGGCTTTTAATCCTCTGTGTAATTGGAACAGAGACTATAAACTTCTAGTTACATGAATAGTAGAAACCACTTCTGCTGTTATTTTACAATTATTTTATTTAAATGAGTTGTATTATGAAAGATTTTGCCATCAGTAGCAGGGAAGATTTTGATTATCACAGCTTGTACTTTTAAACATGTGAACTACAATTAAAAGGTTCAAGTCAGAAAAAATAAAAAATAAGTTAATGGATACATTGCTGAAATCACTCTTTGCAATCACTCTTCTAATCATGAAGAAAACATCCTGCTCCCAGATGGACAAAACTGGCAAAACAGGAGTACTGATAATAATGAAAAAAATAGCTGGAACAACAATTTGTGCAATGAAGGGAATAAATTGTACCTAAGCTACAAAATAATAGACTCCAAGCCAGTGAGCATTTAAGCATATGTTTAATTGTAAACAGGTGAACAGTTCATCTCCCTTTAATGAGACAACTGAGAAGTCAAATGCACTTATGGGGCTGAGGCCTAACACAGTTATTATTGACTAGAGCATTAATCAATTAAGAGAGCCATAAAAAGCAGTGGTGACTATGTACATGTTAGATATGCCTGTTTGTGCTGGAGTGTTTGACAGATTTGCTTCTTCCCTCTGAACTGTGGCTATGAGTCATGCTGTCACCAGGGAGATGGACTACAGGTGGGTTTCATAACCCATCTGGCTTTCTTAACTTCAGCTATTTAAGCTATCCAGCTAATCTCCCTCTGTAGCTCAGGGGGAAGGGAGATCTTTCTGGTTTACCCTTCCTCAGCTTTGGAGATACAGATTCTCTCTTTTGACTATAAAAGGAGCCAAGGTGACTCAGCTGAAATTAAATATGTTTAGCTGGTTACAGTTGGGCAAAATGAAGTGTTCTGGGGTCCAGTGTTAGAATAGATTAGACCACTATGCATGTATTGAACTTAATCTCATTGCAGATGATACCCATTAAGCATGAAGTTTGATTTATATTAACTCAAATTGTGCAGAATCTGTCACTAATGGCTTCCAAAAGGCTTGACATCTCTGTTACACAATGAAACAAAACATAAACAAATATAAAAGCATTAAGTTACCAGCCTGTATATTTATAACAACATAATTGCACTGCAGTCCAATTGAATTTATTTACATTTATAACCTTGTAAAACACAGCAAGCTTGAGATCAGAACAATGGTGGACAGATATGAGCCGAAGCCTTTCTTGCTCACAAAGCAACAACCTCCTGCATATGTTACCTGGCTGAAATGGCTTACATGGTCATTCAGGTGCATGGCCACTCATAATATGTGGGTCATGCCAGGGGAGTACCTTTTGCAACACACCTGGAGCCCAGCAAATGCTTTGCAGCTTTGGTCCTGATCCAATCAAGTACAGAAATAACTGGGAAATGACTCATGCTGAGAGGTGGATACTTGCTGTTAATCCCAGCTTTTAAAGTGTACACAGTTTGTCATCATTTTTCATTGTGGTGAACGTGTGTGTCTGGCTGCTTTTGTTTCACGGTTGTCTGATGTTTGCTGTGGACTCTCTTCTCAGCTAATTTGCTTTTCACTTGAAAGGACGTAATCAGAAAAAAATCCTCAAAACCAGTTCCACTGAAGAAAAGACCTAAGCAGGAGGAGCAAATATATGAGGTAGGGCGGAGAGGAATGTGTTCTGACCCTGAAACATCTGCTCTTTTTAACGTAATTTTATAAATGTTTAACCACATGTGCATCTTTCAACCTTGAAAACTCCGCTAAGGTGGGGGACGTGAGGGTGAGAAAAAAATTATGGATGATACCCAAGAAGAAAGGTAATCTGAAAATAACTAGTAAGGCTGAAATTATGGAAGAAATCAGATGCATTTGGGACAAATACTACAGAAAATGAGTATTTATAGTATTAATATAAATAAATATTATATAATATATATACAATATTATAGTATTAATTTATATTAATAGTATTAATCTATCTGTATGATTAGCATTTAGTATTAATTTATAGTAATACTAAATGCTAATCATACAGATAGATGAATACTAGATGTAAAACCAGGAAGAAATTGCATAAATTTGCAGTTTGCAATACAGATTGGCATCATGGGTAGGCACACACTATGTCCAGTGTCACTGCACTTTTCTTATGCACAACTGGAACACATGCCCTAGTATTTTATTAAATGGGAATAGTGTGTCTACTAACATAATTGAAGTATACCATGGATTTAAACTAGATTCTGAATTAAGGTTTTGTCATTAAAAAAAGCCATTGTCAAAACAGACAAGAAATGCAGAGGCACTGTCTCATGAAGCCTTACAAAGAGGTGTTGACAGCTTCTCTGCTCACAGTTTCTAAGGGCTCTGGCAAGACAATTGTTTTTATTTTTATTTTCTGTTCGGAATGAACAGAAATAGTACTGAAGCAGAAATGGGAAACAATAAATGACATATATGTTGGAAGACCTGGCTCAGCTGTCTTAAGTTATCACCTTCGACATTTATCCGTTGCTTTACATTGCAGTAGTGTGTGCTACACTATTCCCTGTGTGTGAAACTGGAGATAACAGTCTTCATCTGGAAAAATAATGGCTGTGTGAAATGCTCCAGGGACACATGGAGGTTTTGGTCCCACCGTTGAATTAAAATAGGTGCTTCCACCTTAAACAAAGGTAAATGCGAGTTTGCTATATGTCTCAATTTTCTGTAGAGCACTGGATTGGTTGGTACTGTACTGGGTACTGAGTGCACATAGTCCCAAGCTCCCACAAAGAACTGGGATGAGTGTGCAGGAGCAGGATAGGAAGGAAGGAAGCTTCCCCACCACTCACCCAAGCCCTGGTGTGTGGTACTGAGGGAAGCCTGGGGGCTGAGGATTAGGATGTGAATAACAGCACTGAGGTGGCTTCCTGTGTTCCAGGAAGCAGAACTCTGTCCTGATGTGCAAAGGAATAAAGTTTCACAAAAGGTATTTGCCCAGTAGACCTAGCAAAGCAAAACCAAAGCCAGTTGGCCAGGAAGGCCAATGGCATTATGGCTAATGGCATCAGAAATGCCATCAGTGTGGCACCAGACCCAGGGCAGTGATCACCTCACTGTACCTGCACTGGTGAGGCCACACCCCAAATCCTGTGCTCAGTTTCCTGGCCGTGCTATTCAGGAAAGACACTGAGGTGCTGGAGTGTGTCCACAGAAGGGTAACAAGGCTGGTGAAAGGTCTGGAGCACAAGTGCTGTGAGGAGCAGCTGAGGGAGCTGGGAGGATTCAGCCTGGAGGAAAGGAGTCTCAGGGGAGGCCTCATCCTGTCGGTACACAGTTTGTGGTGGTGACTGGGAGCGAGGCAGAGCCTCATCCCCAATGGGCACAGCTGTGAGAAGCAGGTGAGCAGCATTGACAGCAATGAGCCATGGAGTGCCCAGGGGCACTGACCAACCACCAAAGGGAACAGAGGGCACACAGGTGCAATGTAAGATGAAGAATTTAAAAGGTTGGGGTAAACAACAAGAAGGGCAGATGCTTGGAGCCTTCTGATGAGGTGTGATGTTACTCTGTATGGCTTGAAGCTTTCTGAACTTGTATGATGATACTCTGTGTGTTGTGGCTGTCTCAACTACAACATCATTGCTCTCTGTGCTCACCTGAAAAGAGACTGTAGCAAGGTGGAGATTGTTCTCTTTTCCCAGGTAACAAGTGACAGAACTAGCAGAAATGGCTTCAGGATGTGCTGTTGGTGGTTTAGATTGGATATTGGGAAAAAATTCTTCACTGAAAGGGTGGTCAGGCATTGAAATATGCTGTCCAGGGATATGGTGAAATCACCATCCCTGGAAGTGTTCAAAGAGTGGGGGAATGTTGCACTTGGGGGTATGGTTTAGTGGTGAACACAGTGATGCTGGGGTAATGGCTGGACTCAATTACATGAGAGGTCTTTTCTAACCTTAATAATTCCATGATTAAAGGATGGAATCTTCTGAAATTTCATGTCACCTTTTAAAATCAGGTTTGATTAATTTCCAGGTGCCCTTCTTTAAGGAATTAAATTTCCCTTTGTGCTTGTGAATATCCAGGAGTAATCTGGAAAGTACCTTTGTCCTATGAATTTGGACAATCAGAGATAACAATTAGTGGCACAAGTCTCTTAAAACAAGAGTGGCGTTTTGCTGCGGGATGAAAGACGGCAGCAAACTCATCCCACCACCTAAGACGAATGCCTTGCGGTGTTCCCCGGACTTTCCCACCCTGCTGGCTTCCTCTGGGACGGCCAGCGGCGAGGACCTGGAGGAGGCAGGGTGGGGGAAATCCGTCCCAAACCTGCCCCCGTGCCTGTCCCTGTAAGGCAGCGCTGTCCCTTTAAAAGGCGGCGGGCGGGCGGCGGCGGCGGTGACGGCCGGGGCCATCGCCTGCCCGCCGGGTTTTCCCCCCCTTCCTGCCGGTCCGTCGCTCGCAGCCCGTTAAAAGGAGCAGGCAAGATGGCCGAGCTGGGCAGCAAGGGGGTCACGGCCGGGAAAATCGCTAGCAACGTGCAGAAGAAGCTGACCCGGGCGCAGGAGAAGGTAGCGGCGAAGGGGGGCATCCCCGGGATGCGGGGCTGGGCGCGGGCACCGGGGATGACAGCCCTGCCCGGAGCAGGGATGGGTCTGGCAGTGGGTGCCTGCGGGGGGGTGGCAGCTGCCTTCCCTGCCTGCGGAGCCGGGGCCCCCGTGCATCCCGGGGATGCCGGGTGTCCCCGCTGGAGCGCTGCGGGCTCGCCGGAAACATGGCATCGGCTCCGGCCGGCTGCAGGAGCGCCGCACGCTCGGCTTGGATCCGCGGATGCTTTTTGTTTCACCAGGAGGAGACCTTTGCTTGTGGCATTTAGGGTGTGCTTTATGCAGCGTTTTCGAGAGCGGCTCTGTGCTTTGCCATAGCGCTAAATGCGTAACCTCAAAGATGGGGAGGGAAAGGAGACGGGCACTCGCTCCTTATCTTCACCAGCATCGCGCGATAGTCGCTGCTCGCTGTGCTGACCTTGAGCTCCTCGTTTTGGAATGGTGGTCCAGCCGTACGGCCTCTAAACATTGTGCCGATCTGCTGAGAAGAGGGGGGGGATTTTTGAATCCCGGGAGCCCTTTCGCTGCTCTCCGCCCACCCCTGTGCCGGCAGAAGGTGCCAGGAATATGCAATGGATACTTTTCCTGTTCATCTCTCTGGCATGCTGCATCTGATGCCAGCTGCCTGCTCTGGGGAGGGATTATCGGGCGTTTTACGCAGGGACATTGATCAGCTGCTTTTATTGCGGGCACGCTCGTCTTGGTTTTCAGTGGTTTGCTGTGAGATGACATTGACTGAATAAGGACTGGTGCATCTTTGAGGGAGGGCGGGCGAGCAGATCTGCCCACTGCTGCTCGTGTTCCCTGGGAGTTATCTTTAGCAGCTAGATTTAATCTAGGAGGGCTGGGATTAAATGCAGTGCTGGCCTGAGCCTTGTACCAATCTCTGACACTGCTCAAAAACGCTGCTGGGTGAGAATGGCAGCCCAAACCACTTTTATTTAATGTTGCCCATGCTGCATCCACTACTTTTAGCTCGCTTGCTGAGACGAGGAGCATCCCTTGAACTTGCCTGACTGCTTGTAAAATTCCCCAATGACTGCCAGATCCAGTATGGAGCTGCAGCAGCAAGGTCCTGTCTTCACTCTGTACACAAGAGTGAACACGGCCACATCTGTGGTTTTCTTTATACCACTGCTGTTCCAGAGGGGACAGGACAGGGAATCTGGTCCACCTTGAACTCATCACAGATGCTAAACTTCACTCTGTGTTAGCCACCAGATGGCAACCATATTTGTAGTTAACATTAGGGTAGGTGGTAGAGCTTCTGGGCCTGCTGATGGAGTTTTATATTTAGTGGTGCAGCTTGGAACCAAGCGTGTCCTGCCAAGCCCTGCCCTCTCTCTTATCAAACGCACACAGGTTCTTTTCCTAAGCAGGATTTTCCACAAATTTCTGTCAGCTGTTGATCTAGCTCACTTCCTTGCTCACTCCCTGGTGGTGTTTGGGGACTAGGAATGACAATAAAAATCGAGAGTTAGCTGGGTATTGCAGGTGATTTGCACGATCTGAAAGCAGTTGTTTGTCTCTTCGGGAAGAGAAAAGCACGGCTTGTTTTGCTCTAAGGAGAAAAGGAAAACAAGCCCAAAGCACTTGCTAACACAAATTTTAGACCCTACAGCTGTTGTTACCCTGATGCAAACAGCACAATTTAAAACTCTGGGCTCTCAAAAAAAGAAAAAAAATGGCATTGCTTGCTTCATCATCTGACTTGCCTCTTCATACTGCTGCAGGGTTCTATGTAACAATTCTTCTTTTGTGAAGCATTCAGTATTTTACCCATGAAGGATAGGTTTTTCACTGAGGAATATATGTCAGTCTTAACTTTCAGGTTGTGAGGAGAGATGCAGCTGAATATGAAGTGATGTGGAAGCACCAGTGGTTATGACACTCTACACTTGTGGTATTTAGTTATAAACTGAGATACTGTGTTTAGCAGGAAGGGTGAACCGTGGGTCAGGAGATAAGGACCAGGTGTTAAATAATTTAAAAAAACCAGTAAGCAGAAGTGTGCAGAGGTGGATCTGCCAACAGCTTAAATATGCGTTAGATTTTTTTGTGAATATATTTTGGCTAGGGTCGAACTTTTCCTTTTTGAGACTTAAACAAGCGGACTGTTCCTTTTCCATATTGTATTTTCATTTGAATCAAGGATAAAAAAGTTCTTCCCTTGAGAATATCTCCTTCTTAACTTGAGCCCTGAGGCTTTGACCTCAGCAGTTTTCTTCCTGGTGAATTTCAGCCTTGTGCTAAGCAAAGAATGATGTCTTTTTGTTCAGTGCAGAATTCACATTGAAACACTGTACACATCCTTTTTTCCCCTTCTGAGATGCCTATTATGTAAACTATGTAAGATATTCCTTCAGAAGTGCTATTTGTTTTGAGCCTTTCAGTAAAACTGTCGGCTATTTTTGGAAGGCACTCGAGCAATCCCACAGGAAATATACGATGGAATGGTTGACTGTGCTTTTTACAAAGGGGATGGACACCCATTTAACCTCCAACTCTACTCAGAGGTAGCCTCAAGTACAATACTGGGCAATAATTTGCCAATTGTCCAGTGAAATGTATCAAATAAGTTGATGCTGCTATCAAGAGGAACACACCTTGCAGAAGGAACTCATGCAACTGTTTCTAACTCATATCACCTTTTTCAACTAATTAGGATATTTGGACTGGAAGTCACGATCTATTCCTCCTAAATTTAGCTGAAGGATTTTCAGACTGAGATGTTGAGCTCTAGACTTTTCATAATTCTAAACTTCTTAAATATGAGTAAAAATGTAATGCCCCCACTGTCATGGTGTCTTAGAGGGAGCCTGGTGTTTGCAGCTGTTTTAAACTCTTCCAGTGAGGCTGTGAAGTTTTTTTTTATTCTTTATGTCTGTAATCCGTTATCTTGGTTAAAGTTTGTGTTTTATTTTAACACTTCTGAAAATTTAAAAAATCTCCCCAGTTTCCATAATTCCCATTTTCCTCTAATAATGTCCTGTTTCTGGATATGTCTACCTGCATGTGCATGTTTCTGTTTTCAACAAATTCAAACAGCATCTTGATGACTCGATGCCATCCTGGGGTGAGGGTAACTCTGTGTGGTTCCAGCAGGGAGCTGAGCTCAAGGAGCAAAGAGTTGGATTTAGTATCTTGGCTGGCAGTGTCCTTGTCACAGCATCAGGCTCTTTGCTTTCCTTCTGCATGTTAGGTGGAGGTTCAGTGTGGAAAGCTGTATTGGCTGTATGGGCACCAACTGTTGATTTAAGTTGTATACAGGTTAATAACTTTGTCTGAGGAGATGAACTGTAAAGTTGACATCAGAAAAAAAGATTTTTTTCCCCTCTTGAGAGCTTTTTTTGGTCTGGAGAGTAGAAAGGAATGAACTTATTTTTACTTAGACTTAGTGTGGGAAGTTCTTATCCTATAGTAGTGTTGGTCTCTCACTCTCTCTTTGTTACAAAGCTGGGCAAAATGAGGAGTCTGTGTTCTGTGCCATGAACAGACTGTCGTGTTTTGTCATGTGTATCTTCTGATGTACCAACAAACCAAGGCATCCCCTTTTCTCCATCCCTAACCAAAGGGGAAGGCTTTGTTTTCCTCATGGGACCTGCTAAAGCTTAGTTTGGAAATCCAAACTCCCTCGTGTTAGGGGGTCACATTTAGGTCGCAGACTGTGGTTTATAGTCACAGACTCTGGCTTGCCTGTTACCATGAAATGTCACTTTGTTTTCCTGCTCTTGGCTTTGTTAATTCCACCGATGTTTGCCCACATGTGTTTGAAGGTTTCCCGGTTAAACCATCTGTCAGAGCAAAGTTCTGCTCGCCTCTGGCTGCTCAGTCCGAGGAGCCTGGGCTGCAGTCTTGGTCTCACAGGTTGTGGTTTGGGTGGAACTGGCTTTGCAGGAGGCATGGTTTGCATTTTGAGTTTGCCCTGATAAGACAGTTTTTGTCCTTCTAAGTCAAGCTCCAATAGGTGGGGCATTGCAGGAGGAAGCACTTGGAATAAAATTTCAGCCCTTTTGAGGCAGGTGAGAGTCCATACTAATGAGCAGTACCCAAGAACCTTAAAGCAAATCTAAATACAGCTGTTACCGGGATTGACCTGTCAGAGGCTCCCTGCTCTGTAGAAACACTACAGGTGGGCAGGGAGCCTTTCTATATAAATGGTAGATGCAGAAATCTCTCTTACTGAGAAGTAGTAATCCATCTACCTACTTGAGAGAAATTCCTTATTGGTTTTCCTTTGGGGTCTTTCTGTCTCTGCAAAGCTTCTATGGTTTTTTCTTGGCTTTGCATAGGGTAGGATGGGTTGGTGGCAGTCTGCCTTGTTATCCCAGTGAAGAACAAATAGCCTGAAGAGCTACAAGTATTCTTTGCCTACTGATCTGGCAGGAAAATTGATGTTTTGTTTTTTTTCTGAGGGACTCCCCAGATGACAAAGACGGGGCTTTTTACTTTGTTAGCTTGCTTTTTTAAGAGTGCAGGGCTTAGGGGATGGGTAGAGTCTCAAAGGTACTTTGTGCCTAAAGGTTGCTGGAAAACAGGCACTGGATACAGCAGGAAGATCTGAATTAATGCCCCTAATGTTCAGATGATTCCAGTGTGAGCTCAGACTGTATTACTGGTATCAGATAATCTGCATGGTACAGGGAGGAGGTGAAATAGGAAACCAGGCTCCACATGTCTCGTTGCCCATGGAATGGTTTGACTGGCAGTGCACTTACAGTGCTGTGCTGAAGGTGCCCTTCTGTCTGGCTATTGGCAACAGATTTCTTATGTGAAGCAGAATCTCATGGATGGATGAATTTTTTGATTGGAAAAGGCCCAACCCGATTCCTTGTCATTTTATCTTCCCTGTAAGTTCTGGTCTTGCAAACAGTCCTCTTCAGTGCAGTTCTTGTGAGATCAGGTTAATGAAGCTGGATCTGGAAGATCTCTTTTCTCTGTGGACTTTTAAAGAGGCTCTAGGC